CAAGACGCAAAATCAGCTTGTCAGCAGAACTGCTTGAAGAACTTGATTTCTCTCAACCTACTGATCATTTCAGATGCTAAATTTAAAAAATAATCTCATCATATTTTAAGAAGATATAGGGGGAAAAAAGATGACCTTAATGGAAAATTTCTCTTTTAACACCTAAGTCTGAAAGCTCCTGATGACCTCAGTTCCTTGTATGCAGGGAATGAAGCAAAAATCTTCCACTTTCATCAAGTGCATTGCTACATACAAGCTCAATTTACCTCATTAAATACTACAACGTGACCATCAAACACAAAATCACATAAATAAGGACTTTCCTCAGTAACTGCAGAACGAAGAATTTGGCAGAAGACTTAGCTCTAACCCTTCTTGACCTTTAAATGCTTTATCTTGCAACTTTATTTTTAAGCTGGTAATAACTCCCATGGGGGAGAAAACTTTATGGACAATCAAGGGGAATACCCTTGTTCAGTTACTGTAAGCTGTAAGACATATAAATATCAGTTTGTTATAGTTAAAAGTACTGATGAACACTCTCGCCAGTTACACTCAAATGTCTTTCCTCAAATTCACCAAATCTCTTTTTCAAAGTGTTTCAGAATGTAATTACTGTGTTGTAATGAGCTTCCTCATCACCATAAGCTGTTTTTCAAGCAAGTCTGATTTCAGAGAAATGGCAGATGAAATGCTGTAAAGATTATATTGGAGGAGAGAAATCAGATTGGTTTGTGGCCAGATGTCATCTGGTTAACAGATGAACATTTATATTGTATTACTAAACAAACCAGTAGCTTACCCCTACTGCAATCATCAGGCTACTATGTAATTTTTTTTCCATTTGTTCAGAAAATAATATCGTATTTTATCACATCCTTAAAAAACCAAGCATCTTGAAATTATCTGATCCTCACGTCAGCCAGCATACTTGAAGTTTCCCAACATCTTTTTAATTTTTTAATTTTTTTTGTGGCTGGACATAAACTCACCAAAAATGTTAAAGCAACGATAACATTTGATTCCAGGCTATGTGACAGAATGCCCTTTTGCTGTACTTCAGGTATCCCAAACTTCTGTGATATGGGTGGATAGGCAGGATTCAAGACGTTCAGAAGGAAGGAAAGATCAAAATGGATTAAATGAAGCAACAGGCAGAAGGTGACTGATACTATCTACATTTTATTTTATTGCCACAAGACGTTCTTCATTTCAGAAATCATTTTGGATTATCTGTGTAATTCAAGGGATATCTGCAGTAAATTCTGTAGTACTTGTCAACCTCTCTTTGAGGGAACACACTCAATACCCAGTATCAGACCTTCTTCACTGACACCAGATGTAACACAGTAGACTTTCCAATAGTTAGTTTTTCCATCAGAAAAACTTGCTTCTGAAGATACTCCTGCAGGTATGTGGTGATTATATAACAGGACTTGCACAGGTAACTACTATCACCATCACTTTAAGTGGCACTTAGGAGATACTCTTGAGGGCAATTTTGGCAGGACAGCCAAAGGCTAGTATAGCACCAAAACTGGAAAGAGTCCATGAAGGCCGTGAATCCTTCTCCCTGCCTTTTAAGGGTCTGACAGTATGTATGACAACATACATATATATAACAGTATAACCTGGCTCTGCTAATGGAACAGCACAGCAGATGCTACAGTCTACACAGATATCAACATTAATCTGGTCTTGTTCATCAAGGTTGCTAAAAGAAAAGGACAAGGGCAAAAAAAGTTTCCTAACACTTTTTGCAAAGCCACTAGCATGGTGAAGCAATCCAATTTGACAGACACAAACACTGTATGCAGCTCAATACTACAGACCTAAAAGCTTTTTCCCCTCCTCCTTCCTTTTGTTTGCTACTTATACAGCATAATAGTCTCTTAAGACTGGATTCTCTTTTCTTTTCCTTGTCATCTGCCTTTACTCTTGCAAAAAACACTACTCACATTAACTTAATCAGCTACTCCTTCAAATGTAGTTTAAAAAGTCTTAAAATTCTAATTTTCCCTTCATTTCTTTCCTAAGAAAGACAGAGGCAGGCAGAACTGAAAGAATTTAAATTACACACGATTTAACTGAAATACTTATCTCAAACTTACATCTCTATACTGCCCACACAGAAGATAATCTCGCTGTATGAGGCTGTGTTAAGATAATCACCTAGCAATGCAAAAGGCATTTTACAGATCATTAACTGTGATTATAGTTTTGCAAAAACACTACATATGAATAAAAACAAAGGATAGAGATTTAAATTTAATAAAGATACCCAACACAGACAAAACTATGGTACTTGAAAATTTTAGCACCTTGCAAACAAATTGCACCATAATTTTTTAATTACTTAGAGGCAGGCTTCAACTGGAACTAATTTTCAGGATAACTGCGAGGACCACTGCCTGGCCTACACAATTGCAGCACAATCACAAGAAACATGGGTGACTTATGTTTTGAGAAGTTATCCATCTTTCAGCCCCAAAACAGGACCTTTGCTGATGTCATCAGTCCTGAGAGAGGTTTATCATTTTTAAAACAAGATTCTCAACCTCTCCAAGTTATATCAGTATTCATACCACCTAAACTAAATCCTTTCCCTGCAATTTAAGCATCATTTTACTTTTCTTATCCAAGGTAAGTAGAACAGGCTATATGCCTCCTCAGTGCAGCTGCCTTTTCTAGATTTAAAACTCAGTTATTTTCAGTTTTCTCTTGCCATTTCTGACTCCCTCCATTACTTTGGACATACTGTGTGCTAGGCTTGCAATCACTGTTTTCTACTGAACTTTCTCCATTTGGCCAACATAAAGTGCGCTACCCAAAACAGGACTGTGTCATGTATTTTACAGGCCATAATTCTGCTTGTATATCCCTATGTGACGCTGGACATTTCTACAGTGGAAAATACTGTTGATTCATGTTCAGCTTTTCATTCAGTACAATAGCCAGATCCTTTCCTAAGGAACAGCTGCATAAGCTGGTTTTATCCTCATTTTATGTTTCCCCAGCTGCATTTTTGCTTAAATGTAGTACTTCCACATGCCCGTAAGGAGCCACCACTTGCTGTTCCTTCAAACCACTTCTCAAGACTGTAAGCATCACTATGAATCCTAATCCTGTCCTTCAGCATGCCTGCAGCACCCCTCGGTTTTACGTGACCTGCGGGCTCAACTGGCAAGTTCCTCTGCTGCATCAAAGTCCTTAACTAAAATACTTAACAGTGAAAAGCCATGAAATATACTGCTCTATACCACTGCCTAGTTTTTTGTTTGGATTTTTCATTTTGGGTTTTTTTTTGGCAGTGAAATGGTCCATAACTACCCTGAGAATGGAGCGTTATAATTTTCCAGGCAGGTCTGCAATCACACTAACAGAATTTATTCCAGGGCATAGCTCCTCTTTTTCCTCAGCTTATTAGAATGGCATGAGAGAAAGTATCAAGAGGTTCACTTAAGTCAAGTTATAAAACATCAACAGATCCTCCTCTAGTCACGAGGTCTGTCACCCTATCAAAGGAGGAAATTAAATTGATTTTGACATTGTTTGTTCTTGAGACAGCTCTTAGTCATCATTCTGTTATCTCTTGGCTTTCAAACAGTACAGCAATCATTTGTTTCAGGTTATTTTAGAGAAACTAAAGGTAACTTGACAGGGTCAACAAATCCCTTGTTCTTTCTTTCTTCATTTTCAAAGAGTAGTATTGTGTTTGCCATTCTCCACTCTGTCATCTCACCTGTAACCCATCATTTCTGAAAGGCACAGCACTGAGTTCACCTCAGGAACTAGCTGAAGTGAACTACAAGGAGCTCAGCCAGGCCACTACCAATTTAAAACCATTTCACAAAATCAAGCACTGGAACATGTTTCTTCTTAAGAGGTGAGACATTGTCCTCTGGATGCTCCCCACTGGATGCAGAGAAGGTTAAGGCATCTAGCTAAAAGCAGATGTTAACCTTCTAATGGTAAGATTAGAAGACACAAACCCTAAACTCCAGATCCTGCTGTATTAACATTTCGCTGTCAGGTAGCCAAAGTCTGACATAACTAGCAATTTCGGTTCAGCCTCAGACACAATTTACAAAAAGCCCTATCTTCCTGATCTCCAGTTTTCACATCAAGTTACATAACTGAGTTTTGTTGCCCAACACATCTCTCCTTTCCTTCATGGTTACCTTTTTGAGTCAAACTACAAAATCCTATATTACCGTACCAATCATGAGAATTATTCTTCCAAGTATACACTAAGTAAATACCTTTGAACAGATAACATCTCTTTTTGTTTATTCACTTGATATCCTGTGTTAGAATACTGATTCTCTGCTTTTCAGCACTGTGATCTGCTCCCCTCCGTTTCCATGCTCAATATTCCAACAGTGAAGATTAGTCTGTCCCCTTTTGTTTTACGTCCCACCAGTGAACAATTTACTTTAGAACACTCACTAATAGAGACATTATAAATACAGCCCTCTCTCTGCAAGCAGAGATGTTCTGCTACCATAAACACATAAAAAATTAAAAAAAAAGCAAGGACAGAAACACGGATTGAAGTGATTTAACTCACAATTCTTTACATTCTCTCTCCTTACAGATCCACCTACCACATCAGAACACACAGATCTCATTTTTTCTTAATTCTATTTTGTTAATTTTGAATTACTTGATTCTTACATTTATGTCTTCATAATGTGAATAGACTGTCACTGCCTTGTAACTAATTTTCTTTTATATTCAGAGTACTCCCCATCAACATCTGTGATGCTTGCAGCTCTCTTTAGAAAGCAAGCTAGTTGAAACTGGCTTGGAACTGGAAAAAAAGATACTGCAAAATATTGTAGCAAATAAAACCAACTGATAAGCCTCTTCACCTCTTCCCTTGTCTACTTGCCATGCATATGCTTTTGTGCTAAGGGGATGTAAAACAGGGACAGCAGCACAAAATTACTTACACAGTGGTAATCTCTAAATGAATTTTTGAAAGCTGCACAACTTACGCAATCTTGGCACACACTGAGCACTTCCACTGCCCGTCAGCTGCCACGTCACGACACTTGTTGCAAACTCGAAGTTTGCAGGTTTGGCACAGGTCTCCTCTGTCAAAGATTAAGCCCAGGCTTTTCTGACAGCGAACACAGACTCTGCTGTTGTCCTGTTGACAATGACGGTTTCCACCTTTCCTTCTCACTTCCAGAAGCTCATTTTTCAATTTCCTAGAAGTAAGAAAACAAAATCTTTTAGTTTGGAGATATGATTCAATGATCTGTAAGAATTTTTTAACAGATTAAGATTTAGCACTAAAAACTGCAAGATACGAATACATACAATTAGGGTTTTTTTTATATTTGCTGTATTTTTGGCACTTATTTGACAAAGAAAAATAAATCCATCCTCCACCTCTCAAACATGCAGCCAAGAGGAAAATCTTGTGGTAGATCAGTACAAGTAACTGCAGACAGCTGAGCAGTTCTGGACAATCGGTAAACCATCTTTGCTTGTTCCTCATCAATAATTCAAGTCATGCTGAGCCCAGGTTGACAGCAACTCAAAACTGGGACTATCCTGAGCATTCACAGAAGAAAACAAACAAAATCTTTCCTGTAATTAGTGTGTATTTAATACCATGCCAGTGCAGTTATCTAGGAATGCATACACAATGCTACACTGGCTAACTCAAACCATGTAAATAGATAGTGGTGTTACAATGGGATGTCAAAACTTAAAAAAAAAAAAAAGAAAAGAAGAAAGGAGAAAGTCGGTTTAAATATTGTGACTTGCAGATTACTAGTTCTGCCACTGACTCTGCAAGATAAAAATACTTGCATTTAAGACCTAATTTTGAAGGCTGCAATTCCAATGGTGCATGAGTTGGGTCCTTATTGAGAAAATAACTGTAAGTGAGATGTAACTACCATATTTCCAACAGCAAAAAATTGAATTTGAAGAGAAAGAGTCTGGAAGGATGACAGGAAAGGCAGTTTTCTATGCCTGTCTTCCCAAACCAGGGACTCAAGCAGGACCCGATCATAAGCCAAACCTATCACTAATAGCTCCTTGTGCCTGACAATAGCTCCTGACCTCACTCCAGAGCTCTCCCTTCCACGTCACAGCCTCTAGCTCTCACCCCTCCACCCTGACCCACAGAACCATCTAGATTGGAAGGGAATATTGGAGGTCAGCTAGTCTAAACTCCCAGCCAAAGCAGGCCGACCAGACTGGGCTGATCAAGGCTTTGATCTGATTCAGGCAACTGAATCTTGAGTAACAGAGTAACTCTGAGTAAAGAGTCTACAATGTCTCTGTTCCTGAACCTGACTGATTTGATGTTATCAAAGAATCACAGAATCACCAGGGTTGGAAGGGACCTGTGAGACCATCAAGTCCAACCTTAAAAAAAAAACAAAAACAAAACAAAAACCAAAAACCAACAGCAACAAAACAAAAACACAACACCCCACCACATCACACCCACCCACAAACCAATAATCTTGGGCACTAGAGCATGCCCTGAAGAGCCATGTCTATATGTTTCTTAAATACCTCCAGGGATGGTGACTCCACCACCTCCCTGGGCAGGCTGTTCCAGTGCCTGACCACTCTCTCAGTAAAGTCATTCTTCCTAATATCTAATCTAAACCTCCCCTGCTGCAACTTTAGACCATTTCCTCTGGTCCTGTCATTATTCACTTGGGAGAAGAGGCCAACACCCACCTCTCTACAACCTCCTTTCAGGTAGTTGTAGAGGGCAGTGAGGTCTCCCCTCAGCCTCCTCTTCTCCAAACTAAACATGCACAGTTCCCACAGCCTCTCCTCATATGACTTGTTCTCTAATTTTTTTGGGGGGAGTGGGGGGGTGGTGTTGGTTTTGTTTGTTTGGGTTTTTTCTTGGTTTTTATTTTATTTTTTTTTTAAAAAAAACATTCCTAATATCTAACCAGAATCTTTCAGAATCTCCCACATTCCAGCTTGTTCTGATTGCCTCTTTTTCTTTCACTGGGTACCTCTGAAAAGAGTCTGGCTCCATTTTTTCAATATCATCACTCTAAGGACTTGAAGACAGCAACCACATCTTGCCTTTGCCTTCTCTTCTGAAGGCTAAGCAAACTCAGATCCCTCTGCCTCTCCTCCTACATCAAGTGTGCTTCAGCCCTCTAAACGTCTTGATGGCCCTCCATTGAACATGCTCCAGTATGTCAATGCCCCTGCTGCTCCAGGGACCCCCAAACTAGAAACTGTATTCCAGGTGTGGTCTCACAATTGCTGAATAGAGGGGGGATAATCACCAGCTTCAACTGCTAATGTAGTCCTGTATGTCATCAAAATTGTTATGTCCACTCAACCCTTCTCAGCTGAAGCTCCATCTGCTCAGCCCCCAGGCTCCTCTTATCCTCTCAGCCATCTCAATCTTTTCAGTAAACAACCTACAGGTGCCCTGCTGTCTTCAGGCTTTTTTCTGACTTTCCCCACCTCACACCCCACAAAACCACCGTATATTAAGATCCTCCATCCCTTCAAACCCTTCCTGCACTCTGCCCTACACAAGACTGCCTCCTCCCCAGGGCATCAGTTCAACAGCTGCTAAGTTCTTTCAAATGCCAGTTTTACATGCCTGGGTGTAGCTGCATCCCCATTCCCTCACCTTTCCCTATGCTCTCCTTCATGCACTGCCATAAGCCAAGAGCCTCCAGAGTCCCTCTATCATGAAGCACTCCACTGAAACCACAGTCTCTGAATACACACAGATGCTTTAAGGGGGATTTAAAAAAAAAAAAAGGCTTCCAGCTTCACCTAAAGATCAATAAGAAAGTGTCAGGAAGAAAAACACTTTGGGAAGTTAAAATCAATAAAAGATTACAGGTCACAGCCCAGTGAAGGAGGCTGGGAACATTGCTTAGGCCACCAGGGACTAAGCTCTGGCAGAATTAGGTTATTTGTGGATACATTGCCTTGCTAAAAGGTTGGCTAGCATTTTGTTTCCCACTGGGATCCCACAAACAGCAGCTGCTCTGCAGCCACCTGGCCTGCAGATGCTCAACCTCTGACAGCTTTTGAAAAAAGGGCATGTCCAATCCCTCCAGGCAGCCACTACGAATCCTGTCAAGCGCTTTCCTCTGTTGGCCTCTGTTCAAAAATGATTTCTTCATTCCATTTTGGACTCTTCTCCCACATTCAATCCAAAAAGCCTCTCTCATAGCCATAGCCTTCAAAAGTCTGCCCAGGCTTCACGAGCTTTCTTGGTACTTTACTAACTGTTCTTGCAGTTTATTGATTGCATCTTACATCTACCTACCTCCTGCAGAGATACACTTAGTTACAGGTCTGTGTCGATTTTCCTCTTCTGTCAATCATCCAGTTCCAAATGGAGATGCGTGACCTGCACTACAGCAACTGCCAACTGCGCTGCAAAATTGCCATTGTGCATAGGAAAGGCAGATAATCAACACTTTTGCCACTGCCTCGTTGTATCTACCTCCTAAACAAGCCTGCCTTCAAACAGCAAAAGTCAATTTATCTGCTGCTTCCGGACCAAGAACTAAAGGCCAACCCCCCTAGCCCCCAGCTACCAGAATGCTCTTGACCACAACATCTACATCTGTACTGGGTTTACATGGCAGGGCTTTGGCACTGGAGAGGGCTACAGGTGTGGCCTCTGTACGTTGAAATCAGAGGCTGTGTCTTTGTAAGGAGAGCCAGTTCCAGCTGCCTCCAAAGCAGATCCATCAATGGCCAAAGCTGAGCCCCTCAGCAAAACTGGTGGCACTTCTGTGATAACATATTTAAGAAAGGGTAAAAAATGCTGCACAGCAGCTATTAGCAAGAGGAGTGAGGAAAACGTGGAATAGCCCTGCAGACACCAAGTCAGTGAAGGAGGAGGAGGAAGAAGTGCTCCAGCTGCCAGATTTCCCTACAGCTCATGGAGAAGGTCATGGTGAAGCAAGGTTGTCTCCCTGCAGCCCATGGAGGACCCCTTGCTGGAGCAGGTGAGCATGCCCTGAAGGAAGCTGCAGCCCATGGAGAGCTCCTGGACCAGGCTCCTGGCAAGAACTGCATCCCATGGGCAAGTGATAGCTTACTGTGCTTTGAGCAAGGGGGTGGGATCTCAGTGACCCACAGTTAGTATGACGCCGTCACTTTGGTAATTACTTTGGTAATTATCATAACTATAGACTGCATCCAGGTGTCTAATTTGAAACAAAACCCTCACTAAATTCCTTCCATTCCAGCCTTCTCCCGCACCCCTGCAACTCTCAGGCCCTTTCATGCTTAATCAGAAGCATCACTGGGCACAAAGTCTGTGTTTCAAAGAGTTCCAATCTAAAATAAGGAAATCTCTACCAGCCTGAACCAGTAAACAGTGTGTTTTTAAACAAAAGCTTGCTTAGAGATTAACATGTTGAAATACTTATCGATATTCTTTTGACATTAAAAAGGTATTATTCCCACTGTTCAGCAGTGGTGATTGAAACAGTATTTTCCACTGTTTACGTGATACAAAATCTTGAATCCTTCTCAGATGAAAGTTGATCTGCCAACAGCATGAATTCTGAAAAGTGTTTGCTTTCTTGTTTTTTAATACAGAGCTGCCTTTCACGACTGAGATAAAATAAGTCAACCTGTAGCTTCTCTGCTCACTTAATCCAACAAATAAAATAGAAAAATTAAAAAAGCAAGCAAAGAATGTAGTCAGATACACTGGATGTGAACTTTCTTGTGAGATTCCCTGTACTATTTGTTGAATTGAACTACTGACAGACTATAATAAATATGTTTGAATCTGAAGAATTAAGGAATGAAATGTCTCAAGGGCCAGGAAGAGTGGGAGGAAGTGGGCAAGTCATCTGAAAAAAGCCTCTAAACAACCACAGCCTACCTGCACTAGCTATGCAATGTTGAAAAGGGATAACAAGTGCAGCATGTAGCTGGACTGAGTTACCACTACTCTTAGCTTCCCAGACAGGAATCAGCTGTATTCTAAATGCTCATGAGCTCACCTTAATTTTAAAGGAATCTATTTAAGCATACAGTTTGATATTTGTAATCTCAAATATTAAGCAAGAATTAATCTTTCTCAATCCTTTTCTAGTAATTCAAAAAAGAAAATAAACTCAGCTGAAGTCAATTTCATAAGCAGCTGGAGAAAAAAAATCCTATCATATGCCAAAGTTTCTAAACCATCTATTACAATAGATGTTTGATAGAAGATGGCTATTAA